GGAAAGAGGAGAAGCTGTAAAATCTATATTTATATATCATATATTTAATGACAACAGTATTCACCAGCTCCAATGTATAGAATTAACAAAAATGAAAGTTACCTGCATACTATCTCAAATCCCTACATTGTTAGTGTAGGACCTGAAAATGGCAGGTGAGCTCACACTTTAATGGTCATTGGAGTGATAATAATCCCTCCAGTTATTTCAATATGTTTAGGGATTTGGAACCATGCGCAACGTATTTTTTTTGTTTTTAAAATGTTACATATACATTTTGCAGCTCACCGATTGGTCCGTTTTCATGCCATTTGTGTTTGTTTGTTTCAGTTTATGATTCAGATTTTCGGTACCAAAATTCTGCTGAGCTGAACCAGTATTAGGCGTAATTTGGGCGTCACAAAAAACAGTCTATTTTTGGGAAAAATGGTTTTGCTGGGTTGGAGTTTCCTGCCATGCACAAGTCTATCAGTTACCATAGAATTGCTGCCTCTCTCTATATCTCCCTGGACCCTCTGAGAATGAATGCCTGGATAACAATGTTTATCTTTTGCCAACTACAGAGAAACACCAAAGTCAGCTTGCGAGAGAGTGAAGCATGTGGCTCGTGTAGGTAGGCTGACATGACAGGGTGTCTGGTGCTGTTAGGATATACAAATGCCTCGAGGCAGAAAGACCTCCAGCTCCAGCCCATTAGAAACTCACAGATGTGCCCGAAAATTGCTCTGCGCTTATAAAAATATTTATGAATGGAAACAAGAGATCAAAAGGAATATATACAATTCAGCATGACAGAAGGTGGCATATTTTTTTTAGGGGACCCTGGTTTCCTCACGCATTTTGTTGAATAGTTATTTCGTTTTTTAAACATCACGTCTCATGCGTCTGTTAGAAGTATATTGTTTTATCTAGAACGATAGGCTTGATGTGGTGCAGCTATGCCGATCCAAATAATCTGTGTTCCATGGAAGGTCAGACGAGGCAGAGAGAGAGCTCTCAGTGGAACTTTGTCAAAGCAAAGCCATAGGGTTAAAGTAAAATAGCACTTTATGAACCCATTACTGTAATTAGCAAGATATAGACTGTAATATAAGAGATACACGCCTGCAAAAATACAGAGAGGACATGACAATTGAGTGTAATAATCAGGTCAGAGATAAGTACTCGTAGAAACATCGACATACATTCAAATGGAATCTCAGATACTTAGGTGGTAGATATCCCATTGTCTCTGCATACATCTACATACATAAAAATACATAATATAACCCGACCTCCACCCCCTTTACAATTTTTCCAAACCTCCCCCATTATAGCTAGGAGACATGGACAACAGATTGGAAGGGAAAACCCATAAATGGTTGGTTTAATAAACAATAATTAAAAATGCATCCGACAAAATAACATTTAACCCACAGAATAACTGTTGGCTAGAGTGGCGGCACTGAGGCCCTAACTATATGGCTCAGACACAAGAGGATGTGGCTCCCACATAGTTACAGGTACAAACCATTGTGGTATAATGTTGGTCCGAACACCAGGCAGCCAGGAAGAGAGCAAACCAGACATTGGAAACCATGGTGCAAGACAAGTCCCGCACCGGGAGACACCCCAGATCATTACCCCCAAAATATAGGACAACTACATGAGGTGCACCCCAGAAAGCACTCGCTGAGTGAAGCATGATTGCCACATCCAGCCAACAAAGACCCCGCCAGCAGATGAAAACAATCTCCAGTGTGAAGCCCAAATTTTGGCCAAGCGAACTGGAGCATGTATGGAGTAATTCCCAGTTCATAAAGGAATGATCCACAAGCCACACTGTGCAAGAGTGGGTTCCAGGCCTGAGATAAAGAGAGCCAGTAAGCGGGTGAGGAGGGGGACCTCAAAAAGAGGGAAAGGACCCAGCAGGGCCTGTGCTAGATGGAAGAAGTCTAACATACAGCCTGTACAGAAAGGACCTCCAGCATCCCCATGGCTTTCCTGCAGGTCCATACCCAACCCTGCCGCACGAGTGGCCGCCCCAATACAGAACGAATGGGATGTAATATGGCAGCCACCAAGGCCAGCATAAGTGACAGTAGACCTTAACACCTTAAAAAAAACTGGTACCTAGAAAGGGATGACCCATCCTGATGCACCAGGAACTGGGCCAAAATGGGTGGGCACAACTGGGCAAAGGACCTGACCCATGCCACAGGGCAAAGCTTTCTGTGCTGAAAGCATCAGCCAAGAACCCCTACCCATCTTATCAATTTTGGACCTAGGGACAAACAACAAAACTGGATCTTCCATCAGAGAAACTTGGGACAACTGAACCTCAAACCCAATAGTGCAAAACAAACAGAATATACAGTAATAAAGTCTGTGCAGTAGCAGAAATGGCTACAAACCCCTGAGTGGAAAACCCTTATACCACACTAAGAAATACTTTAAAATACATACAACAGGTGGAACACACATCTGATGTATCTATAAAACAAAGCAAACTAACATGGTACAGTATTGTCTAGACTGGTATGATAGTATGGTGAATGTGAAGCCAAATTAGCATATGGCTCTCATGAATAGCGCAGAGGGACTCTTAGTAGGATGTCCCCATCCTTCTTCTTGCCAGTCTTAGGTAACCTTGGCAGCTTTTGGATAAAGATGAGATGTGCAAGCTCCTTTCTCCAACAAAGCATTACTCAAAGGTAAACAAAGTTCACAGTGTGCTAAAAGTAAAAGAGTATAATAAAAAGTCTAAAATATGGCTTTTGAAGATACTGCTCAATGGCTAATCAGTCCAAAACGCGTTTTGCCCTATGGTGGAGCTTCCTCAGTTGGCTTCTTCAGGGAGATTCCTTGGCGTCTTTTTAACTCTCATCTTCTGTGTACGTCTGGGTTCGGCTGTGCACATGTTCACATTTGGAACGCATAATGCGTTCCTCTCCTGGCTGCATGCGTCCCACTTCCGGGTTGCGTATCACAATAGGCGTCACTGGAGCACATGTCTCTCCATGTATGTGTTCCACATCGGCCGGACGCACGATAGGCGTCACTGGAACGCATGTCAATGTCTCGCCGTGTATGCATTCCACTTCAGGATTATTGCAGTTCGTTACAAGCACAGTATTAATATACATTTAATCACTGGGGCTTTTTTCTCATAACAGTCTTATGCCCAAGACATTTAGATCTTTATGTGAATACTCTAGATTTAGGCTATTACAAGATATTCTACTCAAGTGAGTTCTTGTTGCAAAGTACATTAAAAAGAATATACTTATAGAATGTAATAAAGATACTCTTATTTTCTATCTTAGCCAATAAAATACCATATATATAAGGAAAGGTGATGGAATTAAATGGTGCCCACTAAAAAGGTGTGTATACCCTAATGTGATAAAAAACAATAATTAAAACTTAATAAGTAAAATTTAATATGGAAGGAATCACTCAATCTAAACCAAAAAATAGAAACTGTGGCGAAAGTGACTTGCCACTGGTTTTTGGAGGGCCCTGTTTGCCAGCCTCCTGCCCTGCGACTATGGCCCCTGGGATGTATTGCCCTTCTAGGAACTGATTTGGGCATATTGTATTTTATTATGCTGCTGGGGACATACTGTGGAGTTACTGGGTTGCCACCATTTCATGTATCAGAGGCACATGGTAAGAACAATGGATGAAGCACATGGTGAGAACAATGGATGGCGGCCATTTTAACTCACAGACACTGTTTGGACTTTTCTACACGGTGCCATCTCGCCGGTATTTGGTGCACAAAGACATCAAGCAGTAGTTTTAAACTATACAACAGGGGACACATTAAACACTAATTATTTTTCATATAGCCTGTATATGTTCTGCAGAATCTGCATTAAACTGTATCTTCCAAACTACTGAACAGATGTGGGTTAATTTTGGATATGTGGTTCACCCAGATCCCCCGGTTCTGAGGATATATGGGGTTATTGCATGTTTTGGGGTGCCTGTGATATGTTTTATAATACTGTATTTCTCTGCCTGTGATAATTATATTAACCATTGTGTTCAATAATCATATCACAGGCAGAGGGGAGGATTTTGTGTGGGAGTGTCTGTGTGTATTGTACGGATTGATTGGTTGTATTTCAAAACCCTGTGGGCAGTACTATGTTTGTGGATTGTGAATAAAAGAGGCTGTATGTGCCAGTACAGTTCTTCTTCACCCTCAATCTAGAGTCCTGTCTCTTATTGGGGGTAACCAGCTATATCACTACAAGGGATTGCTATGCTCTGCATACTCTCTTGCTATATTCACTGCTAAGCTCTTGTAAGAGCTTGTTCCTGCTTCACTCTCTTGGAGAGGTCCAGGGTGGGTAGGAGACTGCTATTAAAATGTTATAGTTATGTATTTTTATACTGTTTTATATGTTACAATAAAAGGTGGGATTTTGGGCGCTTGGAGATAATTAAATTGCCATAACCGTTAGTCATTATCTCCAAGCTGGGCGGTGACCATTTCAAACGATACACTTTAATGCCATTGGTCAACTGTTTGTATTGTCCCTGTATCCCATCAGGTCCAGAGGGGGCTGTCCCTGGACCTGGGGTTTTGCATAAATAGCGATGCCTGTGTGCCATTAAACCCAGTTCGTTTTGACCCTCAAATCGCAGTGTCGACTTGTTTTGTGGGAACAAGGGTATGCTAGCTGTACCATAGCTAGTGGGATTGCTTTATATTCGCAGGATTCTTGTGGTATGCTGACTGATCAGCGCTTCTCTCTCTCCACACTCGGGAACCAAGACATCCAAGAGGTCCAGCCTTCAGCTAGCTTGGAAGTAACCGTAACAACTGGTGGCAGCAGCGGAATAGTCCTGGAATTCCTAGGAGAGGTACAGAGCGGATGGAGAGCGCTTATGACAAGCTGAAACGCACCACGTTAAAGGATCTGCTAGAAAGCCGAGGTAGGAACGCTAGCAACCGACCTAGGAGGGAGCTGATCGCAGAGCTGACGGAACTGGATCAAAGCCTGACAATGACGGAGGCTCCGATGTCCGCTAGCGAAGAAAAGAACAGTATTGTCCGGGAGAGGCTCTCCTGGTTCGGCCCGAAGCAGATCATGGAATTAATACAGCAAACCATGGCACAAGTGGATGTGGAGATCCGAGAGGCCAGAGCACACAAGCTCAACCTGTGCACACCCCCAGCAAAACCCCGCTGCAGGGATGACAACTAACCCGGCAGAGAGGACTGGGAAACCAAAGATTCCCCATGCAGCTTTCCGATCATTCCTAGAGAATGAGATGGGGATTGACGAATATCTGGCTGACTTTGAGAGGCAGTGTGCGCTCCACTGAATATCCAGTGAGGACTGGCCCACCATATTATCAGGGAAACTATTGGGCCAAGCCCTGGATGCTTTCCGGACACTATCTTCCGAGGTGGTGACTCAATATGACCGGGTTAAAGACACCTTGTTACAACGGTATGCAGTAACCCCAGATACCTATCGCAGGCAATTTAGGAACACAAAGAAAAAGCTGAACGATACGCATACCGAATGGGCTCATAGGATGAGGAGAACAACCGATCACTGAAAGGATGCCAAGCCGTAACGGGTGAGGAGGTGTTACAATTATTTATTTTGGAACATATTTACAATGGCTTAGATCAACAGTGCAAGGAATGGCTTTGTGATCGTAGACCCACTACCCTCACAGAGGACGCTAGGTTAGCTGATGAACATTGTGATTCACAGTTACACAAAAGTAACAACTACCGACCGACGATTCGCACCGAAACCGGGAGAACTACTGAACACCGTCCCGACCTGACTTCAGGGCTCAGTGCCAGCAGGACCTACCAGGCACCCAGGACCGCCCAATAGTCACACTGCAGAACGTCCACGACCAACCTGTTTCCGGTGCAAGCAACCAGGGAATCTCATGGTGAATTGCCATCTCAACAATCACCACCAAACCCCCTGGAATTACAGTAACCCTATGGGACTTTCCAGGTCTACCAGAGCCCTGTGTGTTAACCAGGAGGGTCCCATGGAAGAATACCTGGGACCCCTCCATGAGGCAGACCCAGCATATGCTGCCTCCAACAACCACCAACAGCACAGGCAGCATATGCTGGGTCTGCCTCATGGAGGGGTCCCAGGTATTCTTCCATGGGACCCTCCTGGTTAACACACAGGGCTCTGGTAGACCTGGAAGGTCACCCCACTGAGGGGCTGCGGGATACTGGAGCTACAATAACCCTGGTTCAAAGCCACTTGGTGCCGGAGCACAAGCGTTCAGGACAGACTGTGGCCGTTCGAGTGGCTGGGGGGGGGGATGTATACAAAATCCCTACCGCCAAAGTCCATCTGGATTGGGGGGCGGGAAAAGGGACTGTGAATGTGGGAATCATGGATAATTTGTCAGCAGAGGTATTATTGGGCAACGATTTGGGACCTATGACATCTGCTTATGCCCCATCCTATACCCCCGATGCTCATCCGGTGACTACCCGAGCACAAGCCAGGAACCAGCCAGACCGTTCACCAGTGCGGGAGCCACAGATAAGACTCACTCCGACCCTGACTGCCCCATTAGACCCCATACCCTGGGACACCCCAGCCTCCTTTGAGAATGAGCCCAAATCTGACCCGAAAAATAAGCCGAATCTGGGGGAGGGGGCTAGATAACGATACAGTTATATGGGAGAAAGGGAAACTGTACCGTCTGACAGAGAAGAAGGGACAGCATAGGCAACAATTGGTAGTCCTGTATAAGTACAGAGAGAAGATACTAAGGATATGGCATGATATTCCCTTAGCTGGCCACCTGGCTGTCACTCGCACCCTACACCGTATTACACACACTTTCTTCTGGCCTGGGGTACACGCGGACGTTAGGACACATTGCAACACATGCGATGTGTATCAGCGGATAGGGAGGAGAGGCAACCATCCTAAGGCACACCTGAGCATTAACAGAAACAAGTGAATTGACTCCAAAATGGCAGTGAATTGAGCAGTGAAACTTCAGAGGAAGTGTTTGCGGTACGGTGCTAGCCGGCAGCGAAACTGTATGCAGTACGCCTTCCAAAGAGAGACTGAGTGAGCAAAGCGATACCACTTGGGGGACTATTTTTAATATTGTGAAGATTTATTTGGAAATAAAAAAGTGTTTCTTTCAACTTGCTGCTGTCCTATGACTTGTTGGCTTTACACAAGAAGCGGATAAAGTTAGAGCAGACTTCTCTGCTCTCCACTTGTGAGTTTAACACTATTCATTGTTCTAATAACAAAATTTATAATACTGTATTACACTATGTTCTCTTATTTATTTTTTATACATATGTATGCAAAACTGGAGTAACCAGACCTAAGGTACATATAGCGGGGTATTGTAAGTGCTCCGTTTTTTTTACTAATTTTTCACCAATACACTGATATAAAAGTGGTATTTGTAAATTACCAATTTTCACCAATATATTGGTATAAAAGTGATATTTGTACACTTGCACTTTTTTGCACTATTGTAGAGTGTGTAATAGCAACACATTTATTAAATAGAGTTTGTGTGTTTTTTTTGAAGCACTGGAGTGTTTTTAAAGGAACATTGCACTTTTCTTGTCTTAAAGACACAGCGCACCCTTTTTTTGTACTATTGTATTTTTAGTGTTTTATGGGCTATTGCACTTTATAAGGGAGCTGCTTTATAGGTTTTATGGTTGTTATTTTTTTAGACGTGTATTGAGCGCCTTTTTTTACTTGTCTTCTCTCTTGTTGTACACCTGATGAATATGCCCATTATAGAGGAGCCATTCAGCCGGGTTGCTATTGATTTAGTGGGGCCACTGGCTACCCCTAGTCCCTCCGGTAAGCGCTATAATCTTACTGTAGTGGACTATGCTACCAGATACCCAGAAGCCGTGGCCCTATCTAACAGCCAGACAGATGCTGTGGCTAATACGTTGGTTCAGGTGTTCTCTCGTGTCGGATTCCCCAAAGAAATCCTATCCGACAAAGGCACTCAGTTTACTGCTGAATTAACACAGCAGCTATGGCATGTCTGCAAGGTTAAGTCTCTCCTTAGCACCCCTTACCATCCCCAGACTAATGGGCTCTGTGAGAGGTTCAACAGGACCCTCAAACAGATGCTCAAAACATTCACTCAGGAATATAGGGATTGGGAATGCTTCCTACCGCACCTCCTGTTCGCATAACGGGAGGTGCCCCAGGAAACAACTGGATTCTCCCCTTTTGAGTTGCTCTACGGATGCAAGGTACGGCCACCCCTGAACCTGATCCGAGAGCACTGGGAGGTGGAAACCGAGAATGCCGGGTCCCCATCGTGCCATACGTGTTGGATCTTTGGGACCGAATGGAGCAATTAGCCAGGTCTGTCCAGGCTAATCTCCAGTCGGCCCAGAGGAGACAGAAGGTATGGTACGACCGGGGCACCCGAGCAAGGAGCTTTGCCATAGGGCAGAAGGTGCTGGTACTCAAACCAGTCAAGGCAGACAAACTACAGGCCGCCTGGCAAGGTCCTTACCAGATTGTAGAAAAGAAGGGGGGCACCACATATATAATAGCCAGTTGCCATGACAAAAACCCTGAGAAAAACCTTTCACATTAATATGCTTAAGGAGTACCTAGATAGACCCGAGGATGTGACAGCCATCTGCATTCCCCCTCACAAGGACCCAAACAGTCTCCCCATCCCAGACTTGCAGGAAAAGAACTCCCACACAGACCTAGTGGCCCAGGTCCAGATAGGGGACCGACTTAATGACACGGAGAGAGCAGCTAAATCAGCTACTCCACGCTAAACGGGCTACATTCTCACAAGAACCAGGGTACACTCACCTAACTACCCACCAGGTAGATACTCCAGGGCAACAAACCCTACGACAGGCCCCCTACCGAATCCCCAAAGCAGTTTGGGCTGGGATGAAAAAGGAGATTGAGGAGATGCTCCGACTAGGGGTGATTGAGCCGTCCGATAGTCCATGGGCATCCCCGGTAGTTCTAGTACCCAAGAAAGATGGAACTACCCGGTTTTGTCTGGACTATCAGAAGCTCAACGACAAAACAGTAACTGACGCCTACCCTATGCCCAGAGTCGACGAGCTACTTGATCGTATAGCCAGGGGAAACTACCTAACTACCATATCCCCAAGTCGGCATTCGTCACCCCGTTCGGCTTGTACCACTTCAAGGTAATGCCGTTCGGGATGAAGAATGCCCCAGCCACATTCCAGCGCTTGGTGGATAGACTCCTGGATGGCCACAGTGAATCATGGGAGGAACACTTAGCTCACGTAGGAATGGTCCTGGATCAGATTCGGGCCGCTGGCTTGACTCTAAAGCCAGAGAAGTGCCATTTTGGAATGGCCGAGGTCCAGTACCTGGGTCACCGGGTGGGGTGTGGGAAACAGCGGCCAGAGCTGGCTAAGATAGAAGCTAAGATAGAAGCTGTCGCCAGCTGGCCCACCCCCACCACCAAGACTCAGGTCCTAGCCTTTCTGGGCCCTGCCGAATACTACAGGCGTTTCGTGCCTGACTACAGTACCATAGGCAAGCCACCGACCTGACTAAGAAAAACCTTCCCCGACAGGTCCTGTGGTCTCCCCACTGTGAAACTGTCACGGTAGTTTACCCCTACATGCAGGATTTAGTTCAACAATCGACAGAGCAGATACGACTTACCGGACCTTAGAATGGCTGGACTCGCCGTGTAGCAGAGAATAGACAGAGTCAAGAACAAGCCGAGGTCAAGGGAACAAAGAGACAGCGAGAACAAAAACTAGCCAAGGTCTGGTACACAGTAGTCAGTAAGCCGGCAAACAAGACAAAACAAAAAGTTCAAGCATGAAAATCACAACTGAACACAACAAGCGCTAAAGGGAGCTGAAACAGGAACCACAATAGGGCAGGGAGTTAAGGGAGAGGTAAGTATAAATACCCTAAACTTTACTTTGATTGGCCCCTGTCATATCCACGCCCCCAAAATGTGAGTGTCTGGGGAATGTGGGATGACAGGCGCCAATGGGAGCACATTTAATTTTTTGGCTCCCACTGCCCCTTTAAGAGCGTGCCCGAGATGCGTGGCACGCTCTTAGAGCTAGGCGGAACACGTGACCGCATGCCCGCCTTCATTTGGGAGCTGCGTGCGGCGGGAAGTGAGGACCTCGGCCGGCCCCCGGGTAATGTAAGTACCGCTACAGAAACTCAGTTTC